CATGCTACAGATGGAGTATGATATTAAATACCCCAGCTTAACCAGTGTGTACGACACAAGGTATAAAGCCCGTATTCCAACACGTGAAGACGTTATTGACCGTTCGCACAATCCACTTTTCACTTCGTATGAAGAAGTTTATGAAGCGGAATTTCCACATAAAAAGTTTGAACCGAGAGCTATTCCAGGCAAAGGGAGAGGGTTGATAGCGTTGGAAGACATTAAAAAAGGTGAAATGGTGTTCAAAGAGAAGGCCACACTTTTGTTTGTAGGTGAGGAAGATGATGAAGAATCCAATAAAGACTCGACATTTTATATGGCTCGCGATGTTTACATTCAAAAGGCATTTTGCACTCTCGATTTTGCTTTACAATTAGCGCAGAACCCCAACCGCAATGCTGAATTTGAGGAACATGTTAAATTCATTACAGAGACACTCAGGAATGATCCCGAAGTTAAATATGAAGTAAAGAAAGAAGATGTGCTCAAGGTAGTCAATGGTATTCACACAAATTCATTTTCACTTGACTTTGTTGATGGGTATGCAGTCTTTATTGCGTGTTCATTGGCTAACCATTCGTGTTGTGAAAACGTTGGATGGCATACTGTAGGCGATGTCATGTACTGGACTGCATTAACTGATATCAAAAAGGACACTGAGATCACCCTCTCATACACATTCCCTTCTATTCGTCCAAAGCGAATCAAATATTTCCAAGACAACTACGGGTTCACTTGTGATTGCCCCATGTGTAGAGCTCCACACGACCCTTGGAGAGCATTTAAATGTAGTTGTGGTGGTATCATCTTCCCAGAACCAGAAGGATTTATTTGTCACACATGCCACGTATGCGCAACAGAAGAGGAGATTGAGGAATTCAAAAAAGAAGAAAATTTCATGCTCGAGATGGACAAGAACAAGCGTCATAGGAGGTACTATAACCCACTCAGAAAAATGCATGACACACACTTGTATATGTTTAGAGCAGTTAAGAAATATATTTCAATGAAGGCGTGTGCCAACCCTCTCCAACTCTTTAAAGAGTATTTAATCCCCGTTTCAAAGTATCAAGTCAGTTTTTCACATGGTAGAATATATCCCGCAATGTTAGAACAATACGGCGTGACTTGTATGAAGTACTCCAGAACCATGCCAGACTTACTTAACTATTTAAAAGAAGAAGCGCTCGCCTCGTTCAAAACCGCGTATGAATATCGATGTACTCTTGGGATGGGGGTAACCGGGTATGCAGCTGCCGTGTTTAAAGAACACATTGCAATACTTAACCCAGACAATTTAGCCAGCTTCACTGAGTATGATGAGTTCTAATAATTGACTGTTCCACTCGTTAAATAACAAATACGTTGCAACAATCAATTTAAATCGTTGAAAAAGCAAAGTACCAATCGACGGTGAACTCCTCAGGCTGTGACTGCCCCACAAACACGTCCGAGCCAACTCCTGTTGGGTCGTCGTAAAATTGTGAAAAGTCGTCATACACAAACCCCGCGCTTCCTGTGATCCCAACAAAATGCCAAACCTCAAGTTTCTTGAACTTCCCATTCACATCAACAGCGAAGTCTGGGACGTCTTTCAGTTTGAACGGGACAAAGTTTAAGTCAAACGGATTTTTCAGGGAAAACACAACAACGTCGGCTTTAGAAATTGCGTTAAACGCAAAGACGTTTTCTCCCGAGACAATAACTATGACGACATTGTTCATCGACAAAGGGTTTTCTAACCCTTTTATGTCCTTTCCCGAATACAACAGATATAAATTGTTGGAGTTACACAAGTCACTCAGTTGTTCTCCGTAATTTTGCAAAAATTCGCTGGTCCGTCTGTCGAAGGGGAGAGCCATTTCCTTTCGTTTGCTTTTTGGGACATATCTCTTGCATGAAAAATCGACTAAAATTGGTGCGCTTTGTGTTTGACTCACCTCTTTATTTGATCTTTTCTTTGCTTTAGGGACGTATGTTGGCGCATTCAATTTGAAAGGTGAAATGTGACGTTCCATTGAATTTGAAAGTACAACTTCCTTCTTCAAGACACGGTCAGATTGCTTCTCCTCTTTTGTTAGCGAGCGGTCCGGGATTGGTTTCTCGGGGGTTTTTGGTTTTGAAGGAAGTGTCTCTTGTCCTATAAACTCAGCAACCGCATCGCAGTCATCAAAAAACGACATTGCTGCTTACCAAAGACTTTCTGCTTTATACAAGTTCTTTTTTTTCTAAGTCAAATGACCTTCAAAAATGATAGAAATTTTATAAAATGATTTATAGTAAATTGAAGTAAAATTCGATTACTGGGGGAATGTCTTTTCAAAATAAGTTTTCATCGCAAAAAGTCTGCCCGCATCATCTTTTTTGGCCACCGAAACAACCCACCCAGGAATACTTCCACGTGGATCTAAAACTACAATCCTCCAAACATCTACATGGTCACCTTTGGGTAACATCTTCAACCCACTCTTTTTATATCCCCTCACAAAATTCTTGTTGGCTTCATTCCACTTGGTTGGATAGTTGATGGACTCTTGAAGGAAGTAATACGCCCCATCTTTCTCAAAATAGTTTTGAACGGAAACAAATTCACGAGAAGTGACGGGCCATGGAGCTTTGTAACAAACACGACTCACTTCACAACCATCTTCTGGGAAGACTTCGGACTTCTCAAAAGCAAGAAGATCGGTGTCATATACCTTCTGTTGCTCAAAAGTGCTTGTCTTTAAAAACTCAAAAACTTTAGCGGCATCAGCTTTGAAAGTGCATCTGCTCATTATAAAGTTCTTATAGTCGACTTGCGGAAGTTCAGTCAAAGTGATTTCTGGGTTGTTATAACTCATTGGAGTCCATTTTTCGTTGGCTTGGTTGTCGTACCACAATTTCAGCTCTTCGCTCTTCTTCAATATCTCCTCTTTGGTAACGCATTTATCACAGTACTCTATATCGACAGACATCGAATCCACTTATCGAGTTCAGTTTAAATTTTTATTGTAAACAAAGCTTAAACTTGTTAACATTTGAATATTTGGTAATTGACCCGTTTTGTGGACTATATTTAATATCTTTATTTGTCACTTTATAGTGACAAATAATAATTACAAAATCATGACTAATCGAGTTCTGGTCAAATATGCTGTTTAGTGGTTGAAATTTTGGATTTTTTACTATTATATATAATTAAAATAATTAAAAGTATAGTTAAAAGTATCAATTAGATTTACAATGATTTTTTTCATCATTATTTCAACACTTGAGTTGCTTGACAACACTTCGACATCATAAAGTTGAAAAGTTTTAGTTATTATTAATCATATAATATTAGATTTTATTATTATATATATAGAATCTACTATTATTATATATTAATTTATGATCTTTGTTTTTTTATCTAAAAGACAACATTATAAATTTTGTTTAAAATGCCCAGACGCGAAATGTAAGAATCTATAAAAAAGACGTAGTTTTAAACAACAACAAGGAAATGTTTTGTTATGCAAAGAGGTGGGTACTATCTCTTTACACTACATTTAAGAAAATTTAAGAACAATTTATTTGGACATGGAAAATGTCGATTTTATTGAAGATATCAAAAAGTAGATAATTTATTTTAGTAATAAATATAATAGATATTAATAATATCATTATTAATATATTATTTTAAAATAAACATTATAGTACATTAATATAATACAAAATACAAAATAATTTTAAAACAATCATTTATTTGTTCCATTAGTTTTCTTAATAAGTAAATGAATTATAATAAATTTAAATTCGAAACAAAGATTTGTCATATGAAGTGAACTTGAAATGACAAATAACGAATGAATAACAGCCAAATGCCGCTTCAAAAGATGCAAACGTATCCCGCTGTTGACGAATATTTAAAAATAGCAGGTGGGTCCCCCAACGAAGATGTGTATGATGGAATTTTAAAACAGATTAGTGAGTTACACCAAAGGCTCGACTCACAGCGAACCAAAATTAATAAAATAAAAACGTTCACAACGCTTCTCGAAGCTGAAATAGCGCCACTCACACAACGGTTTTCATATTCACAACAACAAAGTGGTGGATCACCACAGACCAATTCATCTCAACAAAATGTCGTACATGAAAAAAAGAGCGAAGATTTTTCAAAAAAATCGAACGACCAACAGATGTTCGAGTATCGAGGAAAACAGCCCCAACAACAACTTTATCAAAAACAACAAAACTATCCAATCACAAACGTCCCAATATCAACATCACTAAAAACATCATTTGACACATCACAACAAAAGAAAGACGCCGTTCAATCGCAACCAATTTTACAACCATCCAAAACAGATGATTCAATTATGAGATCTGTTAAAAGCGAAGGAACTGGTACACAATTTTCAGAATCGAATTCATCCGAAAAAAGACCGGACACATTCACAGTGCCTTTCGTTAAACACCCCAAAAAATCAAAAGATGACGAAAAAGTACAGGTCCAACCACTTCAGAAGAAGCAAGACAAAATACCAAACCCTCTTGCACAAATAACTAATACACAAATTCCTCAACCTGCAAGTGCTCCTCAAAACACAAATATCCCACCACCGCAACAAGAACCTATCCAGAGACGGGATGTGGTCTCCCCAACAGAAAAACGGAAAGTCAAGAATGTGAATCGAACTGAAGTGGACAAAGAGACAAAACCCGAGTTTGCTCCAGTCTTAAATGTGAGTACCGCCTCACAAGGACCATTGCCAGCTACATTCAGTCTTCCTCTTTCGACTAAAAGAAAAGTGCAGAAGAAGAGGACTGCATCACAATCCAACGAGGACGACGAACCAAAGAATTGAGAGATTTGTGTATTTAGTTTGGCCATTCCAATGACAAATGATGTAGAAAATGTTTGAAAATAAAAGTAAATTACCACGTCAATGTCTTGGTTGTATCATCGTTTTTGCCCGACTTGCTTTTTGCGATGATAATAATTATTATAATGATGATCACTAATATAAGGGCGATCACACCACCGATAATCAACCACAGTTTCATGTTTTTCCACCACATCGTTCTCTTCAAATCAGTTGATGCCTTTCTGAAATCGTTTGCATGACCTTGCATCTCGTCGGTTTGACCCTCAAGCTCCTCCGCAGTGGCAATATTTTTCGTCATGTTCTGAATGTTTTGCTGCATCAAACCCTGTGTCTCGTCAAGGTCATCATTGATAGCAGTGAATTTGTCGTTTCTACATCTCAGACTACTCTTCTTATATGATTAACAAACTGTTGAGCTGCCATGTGTGATTTTGCAGTTCATCGGTTTGTTGAGTTAAAAAGATCTTTTCGACTTCTGAACAACAATTTGTGTCTAAATGTCATTTTTGGATGTTCAATAAGGACCTTTTTACTTACAAATACGGGACTTTCCGAATTATTAGAAGATTTGGTAAATGAATGGGTATCTTGTCAGGTTTGTTCAAGTAACTATTCATTATTAACAATTTAATTAGAAAACGGTTTTCTATGGGCGTAAACACAAATGGTTAAAAATATAATAGAAGTGTTATTTAAGTATGGTACACACCTTATTCCCAAAAAAACAAAGTATTTTGACGTTTTGATACAATAACGGAGGGGAAAGTCATTTACAAATCAGACGGATGGATTAATGGGTCTTGTGAAGAGTTCAGTGAGCATGAAAAGAAACACAATATTCTCGATTGATGCGCTAAAGATCTGTGTTATTCCAAAGAAGATGACAAGCACAGCAGATAAATTTGTCCATGAATTAGCCCATGAGTACATCCACGTCATCAGCCATACGAACACGGCCAATGTAGCGACGTTACATAAGTCTTCACTAATACCAAAGAGTAATAAAAGTGGTATCAGTCTGCACGCTGTAGCAAAGGCAGAGTATGCAAAAATTGGCAAAAATAGTAACGCACCAAAATGAAGAAAGAACAAGAACCCAATATGACCCACAAAATATGTGAATAATGTCCATACAATTGCTGAAATAAAGGGAACTTCATTGAAAAGTATTCCAAAGACTGAAATAGAGAAGATGATTAATATGTTGGGAACAACACTTTTCGTGGTGAACGCATACGACCGACGGAAAAGTGTACACAGCCCACATATAATATACACAAAGGGTTTGTCTAACCCAACAATAACAGTAGCCCTATTCCATATGTTAAAAATAAAGGACAAACACTGTTCGATGTAATTCCCTTTGATGTGATTCATTAGATAGTCCACCCAATAGAAATATTGCTCTCCACCTTTACCAAATAAATACCTTAGAATGGTCTGTGCAGGGGTACAGAGAAATGGTGTTGTCAAACCAACGTTGAATATCGAAAAGAGGACAATGCCCATCACTGCATATGACACTACATGTACAACAAACCACACCAAGACTGTATTTTGGGGTAAATTACCCAAAAATCGGGCAATGATTGAAAGTGATATGATTGTCACCCAATAATTTTCAATGAGTATATCGAGAAACCCTAATATAGAGCAAATACTCGGGTGAAACGGGCAGTGATGCCCACACATCTCATACTCAATAGAAGTTGATATACGCTCAAGTGGATTCGGTAAGAGTGGAAACGCTTGAGGAAAATACGACTGGGTGAAAATTAACTCTGAGAACAATATCACCGAAAACAAAGTCAATATATGTGTGAAGTTGAAACTGTAGTTCGGGGGTGTCCCGCCGTCCATTTCCAATTTTCAAAATTCAAGTTCGTTTCAAAAACACTTTGGAACTGAATATTTTGTTTATCACCAAGTTTATGAGATCAGGAAAAGTATGAGGTTTTTAGAAACCTCTTTATAGTTTTAATCTTTAGTTTAAAAAATGGTTAAGATTTTTATTTTGGGGGTTTTCGAGTTTTTATACAGAAATAGATGTTTTCAGTAAAAATATATCATTATTTTTAAATATGGGTTCGAAAAATAACTAAAAGTTACCATAAATTACTATTAAAGAATTATTATTAATTAAAATAAAATACTACCAATGTTTTGCTAAAAAAGGGGTTCGGTATGGTTAAACCAAGCCAATAAGTGTCTTAATACAACCCAAAAAACAGCTATTAGTAACCTCTGGTAATAAGTTAACTACTACAATTATCTTCCACTATATTTAACAATACAACATTATTTTAGTTTTAAAAACCGGGATAAACCGGGATAATTTGGGCAAAACGACTTGTCGGGGAAGTATTTCTTGAGTTTTGAGATCCACTCAATCGCAATCAAATGCCAAGTGGCTAAGGTTGGGAAAAAGAGCCAAATCTAAGGAGTTGATCAATAGTAAACCAATAGTTGCGAATGGTAAATTTTGAAATGTAAAAATGGACGTCTTGTTGAGTTTTGGGAAAGTGAAAAATCCAAATATACTAAAACACATTCATCAAAAATGCAAGAAAACCCTTATTTTGTGATAAATTGAGTATAAATGAAATAAAAAAACCACATACTACGGGACATATAGAAGAAACACAGTTTTGGGAGAAACATCAAAAATTCATCACACCACAAAAGGCACAAAAATAAAAACAACAGGCGACAAGTTATGAGAAACCAAATGGCCTTAGAAAGCTTTACAGTTCGGGCGAAACGTCTTAATTACATTTTCTAAAACGTTCTGAGAGCAATATAATAAAACAGAACTTAACTCTAAACAGAAATGTCCTCCACTCTTCAGACGAAGCGTACTTATGGAAGTCTCGACACTAAAAGACTCGAGAAAAAAGACAGGAAGTTCTTCGACTCCGCAGAGTGGGCGGTGAAAGATCATTCAATGCTGAATTCTCCACCAACTGCTTACTTTTATATACCGCCAGTTTTGACCAAGAAAGACTCCAACCTCTCTGTTTCTTATTCATCTCAGTGATTGTTCATTTTATGTTTGGGTTCAACAAGTGCAATAGCGTTGATTTTTATTTTTTTTTTGTGTTTCATAAAACTCCGGTTTTCAATTCCAAATATTGTGGATCAATTTTTTTATTTTTATTAATAAATTTACTATTTGTTTTAATTTTCAAAATATACTTTTTCGATTGCTGACTTTTGTTGTTGAATGAAAAGTCGGATATAATTAGTAAGTAAGAAACTAATGAAAACCAATTGGAAATTATTTATTTATAAAAAATAAAATGATTTTTTTGTGTTGTTGTTTTAATTTTAAACCAGTTTTTCATACCCCATTACTATAATTATAATTAACTAATAAAGTTATTACATTTAATTTTAAAAATTATTTACCTTTATATGGTTTATTTGTTATATCATTATAGTATACAATTTTACTAATTCTAATAATACATTAAACTAAATCTTTTAAATTATCAAATGCTATTAAACTAAAAAACCCATTTTATTAATGACTGACAAGGCAACCACATACAAGAACGAAGGCAACTCACTTCTTCAACAACAAAAATACTCAGAAGCTATAGACAAATATACTCTAGCAATTGCAGAGAATCCACGAGAGTCAGTGTTTTATGCAAACAGATCACTCGCGTACATTAAATTAAACAACTACGACAGAGCAAAGGAGGATATTGAACTTTCTATTCAGTGCAACCCAAAATATGTGAAAGCGTTTTTGAGAAGAGCCGTCATACTTTCACACAACAAGAGCTTTGTGGAAGCAAGAAACGACTACCTAACAGTACTCAAATTAGAGCCCGGAAACAAAGAAGCCGAAAAGGGTGCATCTGCAATGCAAACTGAAATCGAGACCCTTGATAAAGACAAGACGTGTATCACATCAAAAGTTCCGTTGACTGTTCCAAATACGTTTGCTGCATATGAAAGGTGTTGGAACGATTTGGACGATGCTTCGAAAAACGAGTTACTCAAAATGACTGGATACACGTTTTTCACAAAATTAATAGGGGAGAATATCACAACTCAAATGATAAAAGATATCGCAAGAGTATCGGACGACAAACACTGGGCTACTGTTATTTCTCAACTCCCAAGAATTGGTCTTTTAAGACTTTTTGTTGACCAAAAGACAAAGGACTGGATTGATGGTAAGTAATAATTTGATTGGAAATTGTTTCTTATGATAAAACTAATATTTATAACTTTTAAAATTATAATTTGAAGTTTTAATAATACTATCATTTATTTATTATTTTTTAAAATTCATTTACGATAATACTGAAAAATTACTAATAATAATTATACTGTTATAAATAAAAAAACTGATAGTATAAATTATAGATTTTTTTTAGTTTAATAAACCACAAAAATATCATAATTGGTGAGTAACATATAGTATAAAATATTAATTAATGAAATAATAACGATCAAGATTTTAAATAATTTACACAATTATTGAATTTTTAAATAATAACTTATCAAATTAAATATTTTAAATTTATAAATCTAAAAGAAAAAAAAGAACTGTTCAATTGATTTCGTTAAACCTCAACAAAAAGAAATAAAAAAGATGAAAGAACTCAGAAAAATAAGATGTTGGTGAAAGTCAAATTGTTGAACGGTCGTACCATTGAAATCAACCTTGAGCCAAACCAAAAAGTCTCCGACCTCAAACAAAAACTCGAAGAGACTGAAGGTATAACACCAGAACAACAAAGACTTATCTTCGGTGGAAGACAACTTTCCGATGACAAAACCCTTGAAGAACAAAACGTCAAATCAGGAACAACTATCAATCTTGTGCTTGCTCTTAGAGGTGGATTCTAATTGAATTTTACACTATACCCTATTTTGTAATAACATTTTGAATACCAAATATTAATCAACATACTTGTCGATATTGATGTATTAGTTATTTATTATTTGTTCATTATATTAATATAATACAGTGTTATATATTTATCAAAAAACTCTGTGGTGGAATTAATATCAATAGAAAATACTCTAATTTTACTTAAAGAATAACAAAACCATTTAATTAATACCAAATTTAAATCAATCAAGTTAAATGAGTGCAGAGTAAAACTACTTTGGTTTCAAAAGTCAATCAAAATTTAACTACGAAGTATAATAAAACTAGAAAAAGTGTTTGATGGAAGACGCAAAAGAGAATATCACGCCCCCAGTGGAGAGAGAGCCAACTCCCCCAGTCGAGGATATGAGTGAAGAAACTCAAAACGACCAAGAAACAGAAGACCTTTTGAGGTTGATGAAAAAATCACTGTCTGACTTAACAAAAGTCGAGAAAATTGAAGAATCATTTGGCATATTCGACGACGCGCCAACAGACGAAACGCCACATTCAAATAACTCGACCGACAGTTCGAAGTCTCCAGCTATCAAAGTCGAGTTTGTTGACTATTTCGATGACGAACTCGACTTTGAAAACATGAAGAAGTCGCCACTCTTTGCCCCCAAAATCAATCGAAAGAGAGAAGCAACAAGTACGACGGTTGATGAATACAAACCACTCCGCGGGATCTCCGACTAACTCTGTAACTCATTCTTTATCTATTTATGTGACACGTTTAATAAAGAGTAATAGAATGAATTGAAATTTGATTACACTACAGACAACACTCTTCCTCTTCATTTGTTATTTGATCGGAAAGAATCTGCTCAGGTGTTTTCGTGAAAAACGAATTCTCCTGCGGAGTCTCACATTCGACCCCTTCTTCCACACTCATCGCGATCTTCCGCTTCGACTTGGAGCTGGTCGCGGCGCGGCCGCGCCCAGCCGAGATGAAGATTTCGCTGTCACTTTCAATCGTTTTTCCCCACATCGGGCATTTTCCAGGATCGCTCTGCGCGCGTTGTCTTTCCGAACTCGAGAACTTCTCGATCAAGTCTTCGGTGACATAAGAGATCTCTTTTCCTCCGGGACGACTGAACTCGATTTTCAGGACTTTACCATTGAACTCGGTCTTGTCCAGAGTTGTTAAAGCTTTTTGGGCTGCGCGAGTGTCGAAGAACTCGATAAATCTGTGGTGACGCTTATTTGGTGTTTCTCGAATTTCTTTAATCTCGCCATATTGTGAAAATAGGGAATACACATCATCGGTTGTGAGCAAAGAGTCTAAGTTGAAGACTACAACAGTTCCTTGATTGGTCTGTTTCGTTGGCCGAGCAACGGTAAAGTGAACATCGAGGAGAGATCCGTTTATTATTGTCTTCTGAAGTGTTTTAAAGGCAACTCGAGACGAGCGGATGTCGTAATATGTTGCGACGATGTATCCTTTTGACGCGTTTGATGTGATCAAATTCTCCAACTCTCCAAACGAAGAAAAGAGTGTAGTGTACGAATCCGGATCGACTATCGATGTGACGCCCGCAACAAAAATCGTGTGCGACGGGTGCTCCGAAGAGCGGTGTGGATAGTCGGGAGACAAAAAGCGGGGAGATTGCATTGAATTTTTCAATTTGTGAAAGTCTTTTCTTTCCACAAACCGATGCCAAATGTTGGATGGTTTTTAATTGACAATTATAAAGCCATTATTTGTCGGATTTTTTACTATTCCAATGATTTTAATGTATTATTATTATAGCTTTTTAATAAAGAGATGAAAGTGATGACGATGAATTGACCAAAACTGCGTGTTAATGAAAAGAATTGGAATATATTCGATAAACTACGAAGATTTGGGAACAAGCACATTATTTTTGTACATTTTATTTACTGCCAAAATAAAGTGAGTAAATAATGACTTTTGGCTATTTTGATTGGAGTTTTTTATCACTCCAATTTCTGGTTAAATATGGTTTATTTTACTAGTTGGAATTCTTAGTTCTGTCATTGGGAGAATTATCCGTTTGTGTAAATTTGTTGTTCAAACAAGTTATTATAACTTTAATTATAATTAATTATAATTAGTGTTATTATTATAATTTAAACTCAAAAGTTAAATGAACTATTTTTGTTATTAAAAACATATTTTTATATTTTAATTAAAGTTTCTTACTACAATAATAATAAGATAAGTAGTAATATAATAATTACAATTTACTAGTACATTTTTTATTACATACCAATTTAATATGAATAAAAAACTATAATATTGAAATTCTGGTTTTTATTATTATATAGTAATATAGTAGTTTACTATAATTAACAAAAAAGGTACAATTTAGAAATTAAATATAAACTATTATTTAATTAAAAATTTTTTTGAATATTTGTGAGACATAAAAATTCATTTGCGTAAGAGGAGACATCTTAATCCAGTGATCTTGTGAAAGCTCATTTGCATATTGTGGGCAAGTCAGACACACTTCCTGAGCCAACGAAACTATTACAGATTGCACCTCAATTCTTTTTTCGTTTATAGTGTGGAGGTATTTAATGAATTTGATAATAGCAATTGATGGCTTTGTTTTCATCAACGCTGAGCAACTTTTCAACACTTCTGAGATGATATTTTCTGGTGCTGTTGCAAAACCTTCGACCACATCCAAGACACCTGCCGAAACCAAATACTCTCTTTTATTTTGATCAACTTGTTGCTTCTTAAAACTTTCCGGGTCGATATCTTCCAAAAACCCTTCTTCAATTACATAACAAATTACAGTGATGATTTCTCTCCAACAATTAACTCGAAGGTAATTCTTCCTGACACCATCAAACAACAGCGCACAACAAAGTAAACTAAAAGGGGTAATTGGTTTTGTAATAAAAGTACTCAGTGTTTGGATAACTCGGTCAATCATCGAAGATCGAACTAATAACCGGATGGTGTTGATAAATAGTGGCGCATTTTCAGTCACTTCACCAAGTACTTTCATTAAAAGTGGACTGATGAGGTCTTCGATCACTCTATGAATTCGTTTTGCGTTTTCGATTGTGGGGTGCTTTGTTAAATACACTGGAAATGTGTCACCACTCAACTTTTCATTAATAGTAAGTGAAGTGGATGGAGTGCATATTTCTCTGGCATTAATACCATAATAAACATCTTCGATGACTTCGCGTGGACAAGTTGGCCATCCTTTTACTATTAATTCCATAAATTCCATTAGAGTCTCTTGTTTCTATTTCGTAAGTTATCAATTGAATGCAAAGAGTTATTAATATATTAAACATATAGTTCTAAAAGATAACAAACAGACTCCGTAAAGATACAGTAATTGGTGACACAAGCCGTTCTCATCAAGAACACTAAGCCATCGATAGTTTCTAGAGACTCCTCTTGTTTGTTCTTCTCTAAGTACAACTCAGAAAATACTCGAATGAATGCTTGTTTCTCAGAAACAGCTTCTGGCAATTGAATTTGTTCAGTAAACAACCAAAATGCTTCCATTAAACTCTTTCCTTCCATTTCTACTAATCCAATCACTTCCTTCAGTTCTGATGGGTTGTCCTTCATCCGTTTGAGTAAATAACTCGTCAAAACTGTTTTGTTGATTCCATTGATGTTTCTGAGCAAATCGACAACACTTGGACACACCCCATACCCCTCTTCTTCATATTGTTTCATTGCCTTTTCAATTGAGCCATTCGACTTCTCGGCGATCTTCTCGACTTTTTGCTTCAATTTGAGTTTTTCTGGTATTTTTAATTCTTCAGAGTCATTCACGCCTTCAATGGAATTAAATGAAAGCAATTGAAGCATCATCGCCAACAGTTGTTTCGCCGAATTCAACTTTGGGATCTCCACAATGAGTTCAAATGAAGAGATCAATAACGTCAACACAGACAGTCGGGATGGCATCAAGTCGAAGTTGTAGAAACACCAACACGCGATATTTGGTATTGCACAGAAATCAACAAGACACTGCATAAGCATCCCAAACACTTCCGTAGTGTTGCTCGTGTTTTTCACGTGTTCCTCATATTTCCCTGCTGTTGAGATGACACATTGCACCAAAAAACAAATGTAAGCCTCAAGCCCTCTTCCTAAGTAATCATACAACTCTCCAACCAAGCAATTTAAAGTGACCAAAACATCAGTTGCTATTGGTAATGTCAGTAATGATGGAATTTGAAGAAACTTGAGTATCGATCCGAAGATTTGATGGTTGATAATTTCAAGCACTATAGGGCATTGCCTCACATTTTTATATTGCACCGCACTCCGAATAATACCAAGAGCGGCTCGACGCAATGTGGTGCACGCTTTCTTCGAAAAAATTTCACAGAGGGAGCGCAACATAATGACAACTACCTTCTCCGAGTTGCTGTCAACTTGTTTCAAAACACACAACCACGACGCTGTAAAGCTATCACAAGCAGCTTCTCCTAATATCACTTGTTTTGTTTCTTCGGAATATGTAATGATTTGAACCATCCCATTCATCGACCGAAGTAGTAAAGGGCCATTTCCTTGTATTTGAAGCATCGAAACACACTCTCGTTCAAGCAGAACTCTTTCAAATAACACACGGTTGTCGGTTACAAGGCCCAGTTTGTTTAATGTTGAGAGTAGTGTGCTAATGAAGTCTAAGTATTTGTAACGAGGTAATACACTTAAAATAACTCGAAGACTTTGCATGATGTGAATGACAATGCCACTGTCTTTTTCGGATGTAAGGACCATCACATATGTTGACAAACATTCAATGGCGATGGATTCGTTGTGTAGAATGTCGCTTGGGGATGTGATCTTCAATTTTTCTGTAATGTTTGTGAGAAGCTTGAGTGTCATCTCACTGTTAATTGCTATTGACAAGTCTCTCAAATGTTCAAATTCGCTTTTCGAGTATCTCACTATCGGCACAGAGTCTAAACTCTCAAAAGCTTGCAGATTCATTTTCAAAAGAATAATTCAGTTCTTTTTCAATTTGTGTTTTTGGGTTTAGAAATGTTTTTCAAATGGTTATATTGTATTATAATATGTATTATCTATATTATTCAACCAAACTAAAAAGTTGTATTATATTATTATTAAATTTATTAGAATAAGTTTACTAGGAAAACAAAAAAATAAAGAATATAACAATATTTCAATTTAAATGGAGTTTGTGGTAATATTTTTTTATAAATTGAGATGATGTATATTTAAGAATTGATAAATCATTTGTTTTACTGTTCAAAAAATTTATATTTATTGAATAGAAGAAATCGATATTATCGGGTGCATATATCAATTTCTGTATTGATACATATCCATTTAGTTTTTTAAAATTTGAAAATGTTTAATTATTGATTATGTTATTGTGCAAATTTGTTTGGTTGATCAAAACCAAGTTTTATATTTCAACTTTTAAAAGCAAAAATGATAAGATTTGCTCAATGAAAAAGGTTAGTTTTGTTGTTTCTTAAACCACATTAAATTAATACACAATCTTTCACTGTAATTTACAATAAAAATATATATTAAATGTCGTTGTAATTTTCAATTCACTTAACCAAACAATAACCAGAATTATGAATACAGTAAAAAGCATCTATTTGTGGGTTTTATATTTGTGGGTTAGTTCTATTTGTGGGTCAATGGACCAATCAAATGCAAAACCCACAAATAATTATTTTGCTCTGGAACTTTGAATTTAGGTACACTTAAATAAAAATTATAGTATTTTTATAATTAAAATATTCTAATATCATTAATATCTTTCATTTTTTATGTATAAAATAGTGAAAAGTATTTACTTCACAATTCCATGACAAACCCACAAATAAATATTTTTTCTCTGTTTGAAAACCCACAAATAGATGCTTTTTACTGTATTTACAAATGTTTACAATACTTCTAAAGATTGAATTAAAATGAAACAGTTCTATTTTTAAAAATAACAAGTCTATAAAAAGGCTTTTTATTTATAAGTCTTTGACAAATTTTATAATGAATTATAAGTATAGTATATAATTTTAGTTTTATATATAGAAGAATGTTATTATAGAATTTCCCAGTCAACAAGAAAAATTACACACTATTGGGTATTATGGTTTATTAAAGTTATAAAAATTAAATGATATAGATTTTTGATCAATTGTAAAAAATGTTCATGTTATTTTTTGGGTTTAATGTAATAAATTATTATTAATTTATTTTATAAATTATAATAAAAATCGTCTAATTTCAACAATTCATAAATTAAAAATATAATGTCAAACAATTATCAAAAAAATAGAATTATAGTATATAAGACAATAATAAGATTTAAACTAATGTTCTTTAATTTTTTAAGTCTTGATTTGAATTTCGATTTAAAAAAGAAGAATTGTTATAATTAGAATAAAAACTAATAGTAATTTAATTACTATAATATTAAAATTTGTTTCAAAAAAAACAATTCGATGTTATTCCAAATACACATCCAAAAAAAGTCCGCCTGTTTTCAAAGCTTTAAATTGAAATAATAGTTGAAAAACAAGAACTTGAAAAATAGATGGAAAAGTGCGATAAACTTGTTGAGAATATTATTCACTTGAAATGTATTAAAAAGGAAGAAGGTATTGGGTTTGAATGTATATCACAGTGCCCTGTCAAAGACCCCTCTCTTCAGACTATGGTCTTTCCATTCTGTTTTCCCGAAGGTGATGCTATAATTGAGAAAAAGGATAACTTAGTCCACGCTGAACTTCAAATGAACGAGTCTTTTGCGTTCATTCTCACTGACATTAATGCAGAGAGGAGGTATGTGTACTGTCGAAGATTTACTCACCACAAATTTTTGGAATGTTTCTGCATTGTTACAGACAAGTTTGTTCAACAATTATTTTTTTTCAATTCATTCACAATTGGTTTCATTAAGGATGTTTTTATTATGTTTAATAACTTGAAATTTGTAACATTCTAGACCATTCGAGTCATTATACAGTAAAATACTCGATAAGGCGATTATAATTAGAAAGATCTCTCTTGCGTTGCTTGGAAAGTTTTTCGAAGACATCACAAAACAACCGGTGCCTGCAACAAATGGGATAGTGACCAACATCAATTTCCGACAAATTCCCTACGAAATTGTCTCAGAAGAAAACACAAGAAAACGGCACTCATTTAACGTGAAGAATTTACTCAACTTGTTTGGAGCATCGTTTCTGGTCGATATCATAGGCAACATAATGACAGAGAGGAAGTTCATCTTTTTGGGAGAGTCAATTTCGTTGATATCAGACACCATCATTGCCTTGACTTCACTCCTCCACCCGTTTGTGTGGCATCATGTGTTAGTCCCGATTCTTCCATTGCAACTCTCTTCGTACCCGACAGCCCCAATGCCTTATTTAATTGGTGTCCAAAAGAATTTATGGGGGTCTGTGAAACAAGAGTGTGAAGGTGGGATGGATGATACAATAGTGATTGACATAGATAAAGGCTATCAAGTTGAAGGGTATGACTACTCACCCGTCTTTAATTCCGACTCTGCCAACATACTTCGGTCACAACTTTCATTACTTCAAAAATGTTTGTTGTGTTACAATACAGAATAAATAGAACTCACAAACAGCTGAAGAAGAATTTGACAATGAAGAAGTCTACGAAATATTTCGAGTCTTTTTTTATAAAATCTTCCACAACTACTTTGACTTCTTCATCCGCAATTCGGACCAGAAAATTGTCTTTGACAAAGAGGCATTTTGTGCACAATTGAATGTCTACGACCAAGAGTTTTTTAAAAAGTTTGAGGAATCACAAATGTGCTTCATGTTCTTTAATATGCGTGCAAAACAAAAGGCTGAGAACAACAAAATCGAGGAACTGTGCCCATTCGCTCTTCCACCAAAGCGCCCAGAAGCCGAAGTCTTGGGGTGCTTCACATTAATGACGGAGGTGGCTGACGTCGAGTCAGACCAACCGTTTTCTATGGCGTGTAGATATTGCTTTATGCCAATTGGCGGGAATGAACCGTGTTCTTTACTCCAACCAAACAAGTTGTATCATATCAACTGCTTTAGGTGCATATGTTGTGGACGAATTCTTGAAGGCGACGTATTGCCGGATCCGACGCAATTGGTGTGTATGTATTGTCACCTGCTTGAGAGGGAAGAAATGGACAAACTGGATTTGGATTACGTCATTAAGCGCGACCAAAAGATGACCAAGAACGAACGAAAAGTCGCTAAGTGTTTGAAGAAGAAATTTAAGCGAGAGACACTTAAAGAAAAGAAAGAAAAGGAGAAGGAAAAAATCAAAGAAAAAGAGGAAGAAAAACAGAAGGAGAAACAAAAAGAAAAAGAAAAGTCAAATTCTTCGGATTCTAACAATAACAGCTGTTCAAACAACACTTCAGGAATGTCATAACAACTTGCTTCAATTTCGTTTCATTTCGGCTGATAAATTATTCATTTTGTTCTGTTTATGTTATATGTATGGTTTATTTATTAATTAATTACTAATTAATAAATAGTAATGATGATTAATGAATGGTCATTCTTTTTTTAGTCAATTACAATTAAATAATATTTTTATTATATATTAATAACATATCAAGTTTTATATTGTTAATAATATAAAAACCATTTCTGATTCAATTGATCAATTTAAAAAATACATAAACATTGAATAGTAAAAATTATTAAGTGTTTGAAGTTTGAAGAATTCATTTTAAAAATATTTTGAATATTAAAAAGTCGATGTGAAAAAGAACAAAAAGAAAATAATCGAAAAACAACAACTAATAAAAAAACTATTAAAAAGGTATTTTTTGATTGATTTGAAAAAATTCTCAAGAAGGAAAACTTGAAAATTCAGAGTCAATGGCAGAGATTACTCAGTGTTTAAAGACACTCTACCTCCAACAAGACTCTTTAACAAAACTTCATCAAGTAGCGTTGGAGAGTGGGTTAAACAAGAGTCTCCGTCCATTGGCTTGGAGAATCTTTTTAGGTGTTTTGCCTTCAGAATTTGGTGAGGGATGGGAAAAGATCATTCAAAAGCAACGGGAAAAATACATATCTCTTCGAGCAAAGCATTGGGACAATAAAGAGATGTTGGACCCCAAACCAAAGTTCATTGACCCCCTTGCTCCACCAACAGAAAACCCTGTTGTAAAAGAGAATAAAGACATTTTGAGAAGGGTGGAAGGTGACGTTCAAAGACTTTTTTCCGACCAAGAGTATTTCACTAACACTGAATTGAGGAATAAGATCACGAGAATGTGTTATGTATTTGCAAAGGATAATCCTTTGAAAAACTACCAACAAGGTTTGTTGTTTACTGTGAATATATATAACGTATTGAACGAAGTATTAAGTCACAGGTTTCCATGAACTAATGGCTATCTTATACCATACTTTTGATACCGATAATACTACTACTGTATTTATCAAGTCATGTGAAGAACTCGACTTAACTGACGATGAAAAGAGAATACTGAGATGTGTGTTGGACAAAGAACATTTAGAAGAAGACATTTACACTATTTTTGAGTTCTTAATGAAGGATTTGGGAGACTTCTATCAATCCAAAGACGCCAAAATCGACGACAAAAGATCAAGAATACAAGAGAAGTGTGACGAGATCTTCGGGTACTTGAATACGTACGACGGACAATACCACTCACTGTTAGTCAAACATGAGGTCATCAACATTTTTGCAATCAAATGGATTAAGATGATGTTTGCCAGAGAGTTTTTGTTGAATGATGTTGTGATTATTTGGGACTCTCTGTTTGCGTTTGGTAAAAAGCTGAAACTGTTGGATGGATTTTTCCTTGCTATGTTGCACTTTGTTCGCAATGACATTATTGAAAACAACGACCAAGTCTACACGATGAAAAGGGTGAATAAATTTCCACCTGTTGAAAACCTTCATAATTTGATAACTTTAGCGATCAATATATCCGAGGGTAAACCGCCAGTCATAGTCAAAAAGGTCGAGCCACAACATGAAAAGATCACATCGAAATTGACTGGATTCTTCATAGGGAAGAAAACAAAAGAAGAGAATAAAGGACACGAGAAACAATTTGTGGATAAAACATCAACCCCATCGACTATGGAAGCTATAGAATCGAACGAAACACCATCATGGATGTCAGAAAGTCCTTGGGGAGAGACAGTCACAGGAAAGAAAATTCGAGCGGTGAATGAAAATGCGGAGAAGGCCAAAGCCGCCGAGAATCATAAAATACTGAAACAAAGCATCGACCAATTAGAGGCGGAAAACAAGAAAGAACCTCTCGATATCGAGGCGATCAAACGGATCGTCGAGGATCTGAAGCTCTCGTTGAATTGATTTTTAAATTGCATTTCATATAGAAACTTATAGGAAGTATTATTAGTAGTATTGCTTTGAACACTTTTTATAGTATCGATTGACTGTATTTAATTAAAAGAACTAGAAAAGGTAAAACTCTATGACCACGGAGAAATTTGTCGACCCTCCCCCTTTTATTCAAGAATGGGAAAACGCAGACGAGAACACTTGGCCAAAACCTCCACCATGTTTGGGACCTGACGTCGACTATTTTTCATTCCAAAGAAACATTACAAGAACAAGAGGAAACACTTTCCCTGACCAAATTTTGGATATCAACAAAGACACAAGAGTCTACTTGAAACAACTGAATCACTCAATTCTTGTGGCCTACTTGGCAATCATCAAAAAACAAATCGACCAACCACATGAACCGGAGATACTTAGTCCGTACGTTGAGCATATCAAATTTCTGGTACAAGTCATGTCACAAGCATTGAACACATATCGACCGTTTCAAGCGAAAAAGTATTACTTGATGCTCTTTGAGGAACAAATCCAACAAAAGGAAGAGCTGTATAACCAACTGAAACAGATGGTCGACGACGCAAATGAAAAATACAAGGACTTTGATGTTGATAAAAAGAAGATGGAAGAGTGCTGACTGATTTGATACAAATAATATACGAAGTGATTATTTTTATAATACTCTAATAATATAATTATTATAATTTTATAATATGATAAATAATACCAATTTATGATATAATTATTATAAAAAACTACTCTAAGAGGAATTATTTCTCAAAAACAAAAGCTATCCACAAAATAGAAAAGTAACTAATGCATTACTATTAGTTCTTGAAAATCTCTTTTCTCACGTACCTCTTGTAGTCGACGATATCGCCTGGGAACTTGTCTAAAGTCTTGTCGTGCAAGTGCCAAATCTCATCACAGACCTGGCTGATCAAACGCTCGTCGTGTGTAATAATCAACACACCACCTTGGAACACAGACAAACTTCGTGCTAACGCTTCAACTGTTTCGATATCCAAGTGATTTGAAGGTTCATCGAGTAATAACAAATGTGGCTGTTTGTAAGCCAAGTCTGCGAAGACCACACGTGACTTCTGACCTCCAGAAAGTGTGTCTAACCTCTGTAAAGAGGAGTCTCCCGAGATACCAAACTTACCAAGATGTGTTCTAATCTCTTGAACAGTCTTTTCTGGATATTTATTCTGGAAGAATTGAATGGCATTCACCTTGAAATTGAGCTGGTCGACAAAGTGCTGTGCAAAGACGCCAATTCGCGCCTTTCGATTTCGCTGTACTGTACCTTCTACTGGAGACAACGAGTTGATCAAAAGCTTTAAGAACGTGGTTTTACCACAACCATTACGTCCGACTAAAGCAACACGACTCTCCATAGTCAACGCGAAGTTTAAGTCTCTGAACAGTATTTTTTCGGGGCTGTATCCAAATGAAATATCATGGAAAGATACAATACTTGTATCAAGCGGTTCGACTTCGGGGAAGTTCAACGAGACCTCTGCGTCGTCGATAACAGTGCTGACCTCTTTCATCTTTTCCATCATCTTAATTCTGCTTTGCACTTGTGGGCCACGTGTTGCGGAGTATCTAAATCTGTCAATGAATTGTTGGATGTGTTTCTTTTGTAATTGCTGTGCGTCGTACTCCCGTTGCTGCTGCAAAATTCTCTTCTGCATAGTCGCTTCGAAAGTGTCGTAATCGCCCGGATAACACATCAAATGATGGTCTTTGAAGTGGATGATATCCGTGACAATTGCATTCAAGAATTGTCTCTGATGGGAGACTAACAAGATGGTTCCTTCCCACGTCTTCAAGACTTCCTCAAGCCAAACCAACGCGTGGAAATCCAAGTGATTAGAAGGTTCATCGAGAAGTAACAAGTCCGGCTTCATATAAATTGCTTTTGCAATGGAAATTCTCATTCTCCACCCACCAGAAAACTCTTTGGTTGGTCTGTAAAGGTCTTGTGGTGTGAATTGCAAGCCACCCAATATGGTTTTGATGCGAGACTCTGCCGTGTCGGCTTCCATGTCCTCCAATTTTGCAATGGTGGAGTTAATCTTTTCTGCATTGACCAATGGCTCTTTCTCCAACTCAACTAAGTCTGCTTTTGTTTTCACCAATTCTTCATTTGCTTCGTAAACAGTTTGATAGACAGTTCTATCGTCACCGTTGACTTCTTGTTCAATGAAATGAAGTGTCATGTTGTCTGGAATCGCAACTTGTCTTGTCGCTATCACACGCATCAAAGTGGACTTCCCACATCCGTTTCTACCAATCAAACCGTATCGCCTTCCACTTGCTAAGGTCAAGTCGGCATTCTCCAAAAGAAGGTTTTTACCATACGCGATACTGATGTTGTCTTGTTTGACGTCTTTACAGTTCTGGTCGACCTTAGCTCTGTTGAGAGAAATTGTAGGTGCAGTGACAAACCCTGCCTCTTCTTGCATTTTCTTCTTCTTTTTCTCAATTTCGGCTTTCTTCTTCTCCAATTTGGCTTCGCTCTTCTCAAGCTGCTTCTCTTGGACTAATGTCTTCTTAAACATAGTACCTCCCAAAAGTGTGTTATCCAATTTTTCGACGTTGTATGTTTGTTTCAACTTCTTTGCATTCGAGATGATGTCGTACTCTAATGGTCTGTTCTTCAATTTCTCGCTGATTATCTTCTTCATCTTAGACTCGGTGTTGCACGCTTCTACCGACTTCATGATCTCGAGCATTCTAACTTCAATATCGGACTTAATCATAGCACGAGTGCTTATCAAAGAGTCAATGTAGTTCGCAACGACTGGATCAACAGCATTATCATACTCTTCCACCTCAAACTCTGCGGCACCGACTTTGTGTTCCTTCATTTCTTTGACCTCTTCTTCCTCCTTTTTAATCTCTTCCTCGACTTTTTCTTCAACTTTTTCAAACTCTTGGTTCTCAATCTCGGCGTGGATCACAGGTCCTGGGCTCTTAGTATCTTCCGCCATAAACGACTCTGCTCTTTTTCTGTTTCAAAACAAAAAAATTGAAAGAAAGGAGGAAACCCTGTTTTGCGGTTGAGTTTTGTCTTTACTTGTATTCATTTTTGGACACAATTATAGTTTTTAATGGTAAAAAAGAATTAAAAAAAAGGTTTGACTATATAAACTCAAATTACTATTGGTGATGGACATTTTTGTTGTTTCAGCAAATAAACCACTCAAATTTAACGCCCCATCGAACGGGTCTTATTTTACAATCAGACAAGCAACACTTGAGGGAGATTATGCTACACAACTCTTCATCACAGTCGACAGCAAAACAGTGTTGTTGTGCACTTTAAGCCTTGCAGTCCCACAACACACAATTCAGCTTGCTTTTAACAAAGACATCGAATTGACTGTTGTAGGAAAATGCTCAATTCACGTCGCAATCAATTACAACAAAGAGATTGGGGTAGACCCACAAATCGAGTCGAATAACGAAAAGAAGAAGAAGAAGATGTATGAAGAAGCAGAAGACGACTTGGATGACTCGGGTGATTCGAGTGATTCATATGATTTAGATAATTTAGATGAAGACATTTTACCCGATGATAACATGGATTTGGATGACGAAAGTTCTGACGACGAGATGTTGAACCCCAGATACAAATCAAAGTCCATTCGCAAAGTACCAACCAAAAGGATGAAAAAGCACTAGAAAGAGTTGAATTGAATGGAAATTGACTTTGTGTCTCACCGAACACATCACAACGAAGATGAATAACACCAAAAATTATACTAATGGAACTTCAACGGGTTTTTCTGTGATAGTTTTGATTGCAGTGTCCTTCTTAGCCTTTTTGATGACGACTTCAAAGTTCGACACCAAGTCGGTGAACATTGGTCTTTCGGTATCATTCATTGCACAGCAGTTGTTAATAATGTTTGTGATATGAAATGGAATGAGTCGAGCAAACTGTGGTAAGACAGTTCCTCCTTCCCCGATAGGGTTAGTACTGAGTAATTCGGTGATAATGTGGAACACTAAAACACCATAAGAATACACATCACACCGAGTAGTATATGATGCATCAATTGAAGTGATTTCTGGCGGCATACGGAAGTTCTCATTTTGATTGGAATAGAGTGGGGGAGTCACTTTACTTGTCCCAACCTTTGAAATTCGTTCGCAACTGCAAATATCGCCTAACTTGCAATTCACAACATCGTTCTCGTCAACAGAAAAAACAAAGACACTGTCGCATCTTAAGTCTCTATGGACAATTTGCGAGCTCTGCAAGAATTCCATAGCCTTTGCAATGTCTTGGCAGAACTTGTATTTCAGCACACGACTGATCTCCTTTCCACTCTTCTCAGACTCATTCAAAAAGTGCGTCATAGTGCCGTAATTGGGAAATTCAAATACCAGCGCGTTGTCAATGTCAACTGAATTAAGGCAGAGTGCGATTTGTGGACATCTCATACTTTGATGAATGATTTTTTGCTTGTCGAAGAGTGCTTTAGCTTACTGTGAGTCGATTTGATATCAAGAAACTTTTAGAAATAAGAAACAAACACTCTTGGTCTTGTCCCAGAAGCTTTGTGTAGATGACTGATTGTCCACAAAACGTGTCAAGCCGTTTTACAAAAGACAGTGTTTTCTTTCTTATCAAATCGGGGAATATTTCAACATCTCTTGGATCAGGGTCACTAAACTCTGCTTTAGTAATCACAAGAGAGACTTCAGTGAGTCCTCTCAGAGTCAAGTATCCAATTAAATGTTCGCTCTGTGTTGGAACTGCATACTCAAAGTAAAATCTGATATTGAATATGATAGAAGGCTTCAAAAAGGTGAATATAAAATTGATAGTAGACATCATTGTATCTGGTTTAGAAGCGATTCTTTTGGGTTTGGGTGGTATGTCACACTCAATTGTGATGAAGTCCTTCACTTTAATAGTTTTACCTTCGACTTTAATTAAGTGTGTAAGGAAGTCTCCAGCTTTCTTTTGTGGTTTCCAACAGACAAATTCGACTTCATCGTTCTCGTCTGTCTTTGTAGTGTCTAAAATCTTATTGTCCAACACCTGAATACCAAGAAACGATATTGGTACCTTGTCCAAAATTGGTTTTGTTTCAAAACATATTTTACACTGTTGAGGAATGTTCGTTGGCAGTTGGTGTGAAAACTTTTCAAACCATTGTTCGACCTAGCTGTTAACATAATTTCAACACCAATCGACAACACTTGACAAACAGATTCTGGTGTAAAGATGGGATTCATCTGTATTTATATAGTTCATATTTTTGTTGTTATCTGTATGGTTATATTACTAGTTAATTTATTATAATTAAATCTATAAAACACACTCAATTGAATTAATGTATTTTATTTGCTTTACACACCTCCCGTCCAAAAATTTTTAAACATGCAAAGGAAATAACATTTTTAACACAAATTTGGAATAAAAAAATGTTATAGAAAGAACTACTATAAACCCTACTATGTCATCAAGTGTGTGGCTAAGCTGGGACGACTGGCGTCGCGCCCAAAGTGTTATTGTCGAGGCGTTACAAGACCCAACAGAAGCACATGTGACAGAAGCGCTCGATGCAATTGAATTGTGGACGAATCGACAAATACTGAACGTGCAAATAGAAGCGACGGTCGACGTTTTTAATTCGATTAAAGCGTATGTGAAAATGCCGGAACTGTTCACAAGTGTTGCGTCGTTCACTATCGTACGTTTTGTGAATGGGATGGTCGATGCTCCACAACAGTTTGGAGCGCAGCACAGAACGGTGTATATGGTTTCTTTAGAGCAAAAAGTGCCAACCATTTTAGTTGATATGAGACATTCCATTACACATGGAATCTTACCTTCACGTCCAGTCTTATTTGAGATGATTAAAATCATTTCCGAATTTTTAGTTGTGAGGTATTGGCGAACAGAAGAAAACGAGTCGACGCCAATGTGGTTTTCTGAATTAAAACGTGCGATAACCAGAAACGACGTGGACCGACTGAAAGACATCATAACAGACGGTCTTAAAAACTTGACAACAGCTGGAGTGTTTTCAATCTCTAAAGATATCGCGAGACTTGCTGGTACAGACATGTCACCACATTGGAAAACACTTGTGAAGTATTTGTGTAATAGAGTCGGGTTTGCAGACGCTTTGGTTATGGGCGCGACTCTCCAGTTCTGTGCGGATACAACAGATATTGGACTTGCGAATTGGTTGCTCTATTTGCTCAAGAATTATAACACTGACATACAACCTATTGTCGAAGTCTTCATTCAAAACGGGTTAATTTTTGACGTAAACGTTCAAGAGCTTCTTGTTAAAAGTATTCCAATGATCAACGCAAAACAGAAAGGGTTTTTGGACGCTTACATCGTCGTGAAGAAAAACGCTCAACCTAATGTTACTCTGAAAACCTTAACTGACTTCTTGGAGTCAAAACCACAACTAAAAACAGAGAAGGTTGGACGCTGGACTAGAGTACCACGACTCAACTACTTCACCACAGACCAACAGAGTCTTGTCATACCTCAAGATGCCAAGATGTATGTCGTTTGATTGAATTGAATGTTTAGTATTCTTTTATTATTAAGTTAAACTATTATGTTCTATTGAAGATGTTTTAAAAATAGATAGAATACTTATTAGAAAAGAATAGAATAAAAATGAAGATAAATACTTATTTCTTTTGTAACTCTAACTTCTTTTTAACGGTCGTCGCAGTGATTATTGCAATAATCGTAAAGAGTGAAATGAATATCCGGATTATCAAAAACGCCAGTGCATATCTGAATATGCACTCAGTAATAACATCGAGATGGGGGAGTTGTTTAAGAGTGAGTTGTGATGTATTGTTTTTAAGATATGGAGGTGTTTCGAATGGGTCGCTCATTGGTGCAAAGATTGTTGCGAAGTTCTTTGTGTCATTAAAATACAGCATCATCGCATTTGATATATAAATTCGCATTTTATTCAACCCCCACTCATGTGTTGGCAACGACTGAATAGTTTGTATGACGTCTTCGCTTTGGATTATGAGTTCTTCATTCTCCAAGAACATCCCTGCGACAAAGTAAAAGTGGGTGTGCAACATTTCCGTTGTCATCAATGCGTCAAACAAATAAAACACATAAGGTGCGTAGAAGTTCCGAGTGAACGGACATATGAAGGAGCGTGTTGCGATCATATATGCTGTGGGATACTCTTGTAAGAATGTATGTAAAATAGGGTGGTGGACTTCAATCAACTTTTCTAGCACTTGTATAGCATTAAATATCCTTCCAAAATCCGCCTCGAGTAATTCTCTGTATTTTTCTAATACTATACTCATCGTGAAGTAACAATCCGCTTCAATTTGTAACAACCATTTATCAGTGAAGAGTGCTATATCGCTAATATCTCTCGCCTCTTCAAATGGTACATGTTCAAATAAGAATGGAAGAATGATAACAGCGACCCAATCTAATAACCCTTGGAAGAATAGAATATCAGCGTGCTCAAAAGACCACACAACACTGATCCTTTCTAACATCTTTAATGTCACTTAAAGTCGATAATACCTTAATCTTTAGTAACAAACTTGACAAAATTGTTTACACTTGAAGATCTTGAAAGGTTTCAGACTCATACGTGGAATGTCTTTCCCAATTTGGTCTTTAACATTCTTCCATGCTTTTGGATATTTGTGTTTCGTAACGTGGAAATGGAAATTAACCAAATTGCAATATTCCGCCTTTTTGATTTTTTGCTTGGCTTCGTGGAGAGAAGTGTCCTCTGGAAGATATCCACTTAATACTTTCCAAACAACAGGACGAAGTTTGTCTGTTATACCGTGTTGTGCATATTGTCGGAGTACATCTTTGCATACTACTTGAGTTGACGAGAAGTAACTGTCCAGTGTCGACTGGTCGCTCATCTGGTTTGTGTTTTTAAGTTGAAGAGTTATAAAAAGCAATTAGTTTAATTTATTATATTAAACCAATTTAATTGTTATTAAATAAATAATTATACATATATTATAGATTTAATGCTGTTTTTTTATTATAATAAAACTATAATTAATAGTATATATATTTATATTATTTTAAGGTATTTAGATATTATATTTATTGATTATAATGGAGTAAAACTATAAGTATAGTTTTAAAAATAACAAATTATAGTAAATACAACGTGTTATTAAAATATAATTGAAAACTAATAAAAAACAACCCAGAGTCATGCAGAACGTGTTCCATACCTCAACATTTACTCCACTATTGAGCTCATCGAGTCGGGGAAATCTCGGGGTTGGTGGTTCAAACATCTGTTACATCTCCGATCCAGACACAAATTATTTGATCAATTTGGAAATGCCATTACACGAAAATGTCGATATTGGGATGCCTACCCGGAGCAACGCAACTTTTGTGATCCCAGGAAACGACTACAAAACGGTGACGAACAACGTCACGTCGATGAACTGGAGCAAGAACGACTACAGGCCAAATAAAGAATCGTTGTTGGTTTGTTGGAATTGCCAAACCCTTGTTATGTACACTGAGCAAAAGAACATGACGACGCCAACAGAGTTATGGAAGATTGAGAAGAATGTCAGTGAGTTACTTCATGACAAGTTGGAGAATATATGGAGCGACGAAGATAAAAACAACGAAACGAATCACGAGGAAGATAGTGACACATTGATTAAGAGGGGATACGAACTCTTCATAATAAATGCTGTATTTACAGAGAATAATAATGCTATTGTTCTAACACCAAATTCGTTGTTTCATATCAACTTATTTTCCGATGAAGTCACATTAGTCGAACTTGAAAATGACAGCAAGAATGTTGTGACATATCCACAAGACGGGAAATTGTTTTGTATTGTTGGAAATATCTTTGGTCAGCTGGATGTGTATTGTTTTCAAGACGGGAACTTCACAACAAAAAGAACAAAAATACTCGACAAGGACTTTTGTTTGCCGAACAGCCTTGTCATTATACAAAACAAACTCTTTGTGCTCAAGTCGACATTCATGTACATTGTGGATTTGACAAATTACGATGTAGTAGAAAGGCTCTGTGTTGGTCTAGTCAGCTCATTGTTAAAAAGTAGTGACGGAAATATATTGTTACACGACTATAATAACACAGTCAGAGTGTTTGACGTTGGAAAGCATACAATAGATTTTGTGTGTGAGAATGCAGTCGCAGTAACTGAGAGTTGTGGGTGCGTCTCAGTCTTAATTCCCCAACAAAACGTTTTGAACCATTCGATATACCCAAACCACTTGCTTATGCGATTTAAGAACATTCAACACCAACAAAGTGGTGTTTTTGAAAGACATTGTATCAACGAAATGGAGGTGATGTGGGACAAAATGAAAACATTGACCACGCAGTTTCGAAGTAATGGAACCCTGTTGGAGCGCGATGACACACAAAAAAAGATTATTGAATTAAGACGCGAGATAAGTTTCTTTATCTTGATGAAGTTGTTTGCAATACTTTTTGAAGAAAAGATCGAATTCCAAAACATCCCAAAAGAACTCCAAGAAATGGTTTTGAACTACGAGTCTTACATTGGTCATTTTGAATGCCCTGTTTATTACCAACAATATCTTGTGGAGTCTAAGGGTATATGCCCACTCTGCAAAAAGCCAAGTGAATTACATAGCGGGATTTCTGTGTGCGAGTTGAATCACCAATTCGACATCTGTTCAAACACAAAACAAACAGTGTTGTACCCTTAT